GGCATATCTATCTGTGCATTATGATATGATATTTATCTCTACTTATTTGGGTCCAAGATCTCTAAAAAGAGTTATTTTTCAAAACGTGTTGGTTCATTGGAAAGAGGACACTTTTATTAACATTTTGGGAAATTTTTATACTCATATCCCGAGAAATCGATTTTATACGAATTTTTAAAATTTAGTCGGCGAAAATTGCAAAATTCGAAATAATTGTCGATTATTTCAAAAATTTATTTCTCAAGAACTGAAAGTGATTTTTCAAAACGGGTTATTGCATTAAAAAGAGGATACTTTAATTAATAATTGGTGATATTTTCACAAGGATCCTTCAAGAAATGAATTTTATAGTGAATTTTGAACATTATCGATGAAAATTGCAACATTGAAAATTTTATCAAAACTTCAAATATTGTTTTCTCAAAAACTAAAAGTTATTTTTCAAAAGGGGTTGGTTCATTGGAAAGAGGACACTTTTATTAACATTTTGGGAAACTTTCATACTCATATTCCAAGAAATCGATTTTATACGAATTTTTAAAACTTAATCGGCGAAAATTGCAAAATTCGAAACAATTGTCGATTATTTCAAAAATTTATTTCTCAAGAACTGAAAGTGATTTTTCAAAACGGCTTTTTGCATTAACAAGTGGATACTTTAACTAATAATTGATGATATTTCCACAAGGATCCTTCAAGAAATTAATTTTATAGCGAATTTTGAAAATTATCGATTAAAATTGCAACATCGAAAATTTTATCAAATCTTCAAATTTTGTTTTCTTAAAAACTAAAAGTAATTTTTCAAAATGGGTTGGTTCATTGGAACGGGGACACTTTTATTAACATTTTGGGAAATTTTCATACTCATATTCCAAGAAATCGATTTAATCGGCGAAAATTGCAAAATTCGAAAATATTGTTGATTATTTCAAAAATTTATTTCTCAAGAACTAAGAGTGATTTTTCAAAACGGCTTTTTGTATTAAAAGGAGGATACTTTAATTAATAATTGGTGATATTTCCACAAGTATCCTTCAAGAAATTAATTTTATAGCGAACATTGAAAATTATCGATGAAAATTGCAACACCGAAAATTTTATCAAATCTTTAAATATTGTTTTATCAAAAACTAAAAATTATTTTTCAAAACGGGTTGGTTCATTGGAAAGGGGAGACTTTTATTAACATTTTGGGAATTTTTCATACTCATATTCCAAGAAATCGATTTTATACGAATTTTTAAAATTGAATCGGCGAAAATTGCAAAATTCGAAAAAATTGTCGATTACTTCAAAAATTTATTTCTCAAGAACTGAAAGTGATTTTTCAAAACGGCTTTTTGCATTAAAAAGTGGATACTTTAACTAATAATTGATGATATTTCCACAAGGATCCTTCAAGAAATGAATTTTATAGCGAATTTTGAAAATTATCGATGAAAACTGCAACATCGAAAATTTTATCAAAACTTCAAATAATGTTTTCTCAAAAACGAAAAGTTATTCTTCAAAACATGTTGGTTCATTGGAAAGAGGACACTTTCATTACAATTTTGGGAAATTTTCGTACTCATATTCCAAGAAATCGATTTTATAGGAATTATTAATATTTAATCGGCGAAAATTGCAAAATTCGAAAAAATTGTGGATTATTTCAAAAATTTATTTCTCATGAACTGAAAGTGATTTTTCAAACCGGCTTTTTGAATTAAAAAGAAGATATTTTAATTAATAATTGGTGAAATTTCCAAGAGGATCCTTCAAGAAATGAATTTTATAGCGAATTTTGAAAATTATCGATCAAAATTGCAACATCGAAAATTTTATCAAAACTTCAAATAATGTTTTCTCAAAAACGAAAAGTTATTTTTCAAAACGTGTTGGTTCATTAGAAAGAGGACACTTTTATTAGCATTTTGGGAAATTTTCATACTCATATTCCAAGAAATCGATTTTATACGAATTTTTAAAACTTAATCGGCGAAAATTGCAAAATTCGAAAAATTGTCGATCATTTCAAAATTTTTTTTCTCAAGAACTGAGAGTGATTTTTCAAAACGGCTTTTTGCATTAGAAAGAGATAACAATAATTAATAATCGAAAGTGATAACAGCGATAGCTCTGTTAGTAATGAATTTGATGATGAATTACAAGCGAAAAGAAGGAAGCTAGATGAAACTGCAACAAGAGATTTTATATTATATTATATCATATTAGATTACGTTGTCAGAAACTTTAACCTGAACAGAGCATATTAATGAACTAAAAAAGAAACTAGCAAGTTCGCTGTATTGTTTAAGGGTTGTGACCAAGAATTTAGCATCAGATATAGCTAAAGTCGTTTACTACGCCTACTTCCACAGTATGGCAACGTATGGAATTGAAGTTTGGGGGGTATCTAGTCAAATAATCGATATCTTTAAACTGCAGAAAAAAGCGGTAAGGATTTTAAAGGAATTAAACAATCGGGAAAGCTGTAGAACAATTTTCAAAAAATTAGGAATTTTAACGATACCCAGCTGCTTCATACTAACCTTATATTCATACGCAGAAACACCTATATACACGAAATGCAGATATACATGACTACCATACCAGACACAGAAATGATATTCAGGTTCCGTACCATAGGATAGAAAAATCCCAGAATTCTGTCAAATATGTTGGCATTATACAACTTGATACCATCCGAAATAAGATCATTAAATAACAGTCAATTTAAAATTACTATGAAGAGAATGTTATTGGAAGGCGAGTTCTATTCCGTGCAGAAATTTGTAACTAAATTAGAATCAGGAAATACCAATTATTTATTTATTTGAAGAGTCTAATAAAGCGATGTTGATGTGTTTACATTATGTAATATAATTTTTTTTTCTTTTGTATTGTATTGACGAGAATAATGTATTATGCATGCTTATTCAATAAATATTATTATTATTATATATCGTATTGGGATTGTTATAATGAGGTTGCTAAAGACAAACCTGATATAAATAAAGTTGTATTAAATGAAAAAAGTCCTATTGGGGTTGAACTTAATTATTATATGCAGTTTCCAACACCTATAAGAGATAGTAATTCCTGTGAGTGGTGGAGTACTAAGTAATAGGTTTTTAAAAAATGGCCGGATAGGCCGGATACCGGATATCAGTTTCACCACTAATCTATACGTGTCTATTTGTCGACATTTACCGTGTTTTTGCGTAAAACTTAAGATTTATCGAGTAGATGGTGGTAAAAGTTCGAAATGAACGATGATCACAGAACATTTCGGACTTTTACCATTCAGAGTTGGTAAATATTAGGTTTCACTGGAAAATCTTAGGATTGTATATTTTTATCGCACTACAAGTGGAATTAACAGTAGACCTAGAACTAAAAACATTTGGGTTTAACCGTCTTAAGAGACGTATTATCGAATATTAGTGTTCTTGTTTCAGTTGTTATTCAGCGTTAGTAGTTTTACTGTACAATGTTTTTAGTTAATTATTTCATTTAGAATGTTTGAGGCGTCAGCAAGTCTGCAAGTTGTAAATTTAGAATTGCCCGAAGACAAAGCAGTTTTAATTGTTCGAAGTAAGGGATCCCATAAAACCCGTCGACTGGCGACGACGTTCGAATATGACGCTGCATTTTATAAGTTTCGGTCCGTTACAAACAAATTCCAGACGCCGCGGCCATTGTATCGTAACTAATGACTTCATTAAACGCTGGAAGGAGCGAAAAACCAAGAGAGAGAAGCGAAGAAGCGGAACAGGCCGTGGGCGGGGAATGGAGGACAGTTAAAAAAAATATCGTTCAAAATAGAAAAAATTAAAAGAAATCTTCACGGAGAGTAATTATCTTTCTTGTCGGCCAATCAACAGTCGTTCAACTATTCAATTACACAAACCACTTGACATTGGAAATAAAGTACCAAGAGGATGGTGAACGGTGAGCGACCACGCGGAACACTTTGGTACCGCCAAGGCGCAGAAATAAATACAATTAATAATTCCTCGCGACGCTTGATTTATGTTGGTTTACCTTGAACTTGAATTGATAAATGCGCCCGAGCTGTTATTACCGCCGCAACCGGGGAAATATGAACCCGCAAGCGGTATCTTCAAAAATCCATAGGTGTAAATCTAAAGTTTTCCAACGTGAATTCCTTCCCATCATCATTTGCGTCCCTCGACCTTTACCAACAAGCTTTTGTGAATTATAGGCTCGCACAGCTAATAAGAGGATTCGTAACACCTCGTAACGCCTAACGACTTATTTGCTTATATGGTCTACAAGAATCCATATCTCGACGAAGGCGGTAGTTAACACGAGAATCAAAATAGGATTACCACCATAATTTATAATAGAAATTAACTACAACAACACCGCTATCACATCGCCATCCACACTTACATTATTTATGGAAAAACCGGGTGTATTTTAAATTTCATAAAGTAACTTATAAAATGATAAGTTACTTCCTGCTCTTATCTTGCATTACCTAATACAATCTTAACAATAAACAAGACTTTCCTATTAATAACACCATAAATATATCACCTGTTTATGAACTACTTTTAAGTGGATTTTAAAACTAACTGACGTTTTTAACGACTGAGAACCTCCAGAACAAGTTGTCTTTTTTAATTACAAGCGATGTCACGGTCTCATCACTTATCTTCTAGATTTACGGCCCAGTCGGCTGCGTGCCTGTCATTATCTTTCAGATTCGGTACCGGGAAACAGCTGTGGAGAAGACTTCGTCCGCATCGCAGTATTTTCGCATGTACCGTCATTATTTCATAATTAACCCAACCACGACGAAGGACATGATGCCATGTTTACATGGAAATTGAAACGAAACAATGCCTCATTGTACTTTCTCAACTTGATTCAACTTGATATTTGAGACGATAAATTCGATTTCGATGTTATAATTAGATTTATAAGTAAAATAATTATCTTGAAAGGTCATTGTAAGTTATCGTGTATGATGTTTTTGTTGGTGTCTGTGAAATTGATAATTACTAACGTATTGACAGCCAAGCAAATTGGTTCTTTTATTAAAATATTTTTTATTGCTCAAAATTGAAAATATGGAGAAAAAATATCGTTTCGTAATTATGTTATGTGTACTAGTAGCTTCATGGTTTAACGAAGGTAAGTTTAAACAAATATTTGTAGAGTCAAAGAAGTTTCAACAATCATTTGATGTTTAGTTCCCTAATATAAACGCCATTTGGTTGAAATTATCGACGAGTTTATTATCAGCTTACATTTCTTTTATCTAATAAAACATTCTTCTAAATGTTTAACGTAAAATGAACATCAAAATTAAATCCCGTGGATGCTAGTTCCTCGTTTAGTAACATTTGAGGCACTTACCTATACTTGAATATTACACACCAAGGATCTATAATATCAGATAATGTAAGATATCTCAATAACATTAACATCATTACATTACATTACATTACATAGAATACATATCGGGTAGGCGGACCAACCAACCTTGCACCGCGACCCTAAGGATCTATTGTACCCCGATAGATATCGTTATCAAATTTCACCGTGCAGTCCAATGCTCTTAACGAACATTAATACCTTGCTCGGCGAAAGGTCATTCAGATCTTTTGAGGAGATAAACTGCGACCCAAAAATCGAGAATCTGATACGGTTAACGGCAGGGCAGTGGCATAAAACATGCTCAACCGTCTCTGCTTCCTCCGCACATAGTCGGCATTCAACATCGTCGGCTAAACCCAACAAGTTGAGGTGTGCTTTTAATCGGCAGTGCCCAGTAAAAACACCCATTAGAACTTTTATGCTACTACGGGCAAGTCCTAAAATATTCCCGGGTTTGACAGTGGCGATGTTAATAAACACCTTAGCATGTCTCATTCCAGGAGAACTGGTCCACAGTAGGCGAAGTCTCTCTTCAGCCCACAGTCCAATCCTATATTTGGCCATCGCAAATGATACACCAACTGCTGGTTCCGGTCCCACAAACGCTTCAGCGCTGCCATCTCGTGCTAGCTTATCTGCCGCTTCATTGCCAGCAACCCCAGAGTGACCCGGGACCCAGATCAGAGAGACTCTGTTATCACAACTCAGTGTGTTTAATGTTCTCTTACAATCATTAACCAGAGCCGACACCGTTTTCACGGCTTGCAGCGCCTGGAGAGCGGCTTGACTGTCTGAGAAAATTCGTACTGTCATGTTCTTCACCCCTCTTTCAAGAAGGATTTTAGCACCCATGTCAATAGCAAATACTTCCGCCTGGAATACAGTACAGTACGTACCCAGGCTGTAGGCTTGCTTAATTCGAGGTGTCTGGCAGTATACTCCTGCTCCTACCCCTTCAGGCGTTTTTGATCCATCTGTGTACAAGCAAATGTCTGCCCGAACCAGAGAATTTTCATTTTCGATCCAGGACTGCCGCTCAGGCAGTACAATCTGGTATCGAGCATTAATCACTGATAGTGATACCGCCAAATCTGACGGCATTGATAGCACAGTATCAGTGCTTATAATGTCTTCCGCAGCCCATTGGTAGGACATGTCGGAACAGTTTTGAGCATATTGCTTAAATCTGTAAATGGTTGTTCTAGCCACTTTCTCTATATGCAAATGCAGAGGAGATAGGCCAAGCAGAACCTCCATTGCTAGAGTTGGCGTTGTGCCTATCGCACCAGAGATTGCCAATCCAGCTACTCGTTGAATTCGTGAAAGTTTACTGATAACTGAAGTCTGTCGGACTTTCCTATACCAGGCTGCTGCTCCGTATGTGATCATAGGTCTAACCACAGTCACATAGAGCCAGTACAGTCTTTCAGGGGTAAGACCCCAATTTTTTCCACAAAGACTGCGACAAGTCCACAAGGATAGTCTAGCTTTGAGCAGAACTCCCTGCAAATGTCCATTCCATGACAGGGTTTTGTCTAGGATTACTCCTAGATATTTGACTTCATTAACATTATCATCAACATTAACATCAACCACAAGGTGATTAGCAGCAGTGAAAGAGATCTAGACCGATCCAGAACCTTAAAAAAATCGTTATTAAGACGCATCACAGTTGAAAGTCACTATTGAAAAATTAAAAATGTAAGAAGTGGAGATTCCAAACATGATCAAATTTGCTTTATACAGGGTGATTTATTAGCTCACCAATTACAAAAAAAAAATGTTAATGAACATATGTCCTATTTTAATTATTTACGAAATTATTGTTATGTTTGTTGGTTCCACTAAGTATATTAATATACTCTCGTTTATTATTAACTATTCTTTATTAAATGAATTCTTTCAAGTTAATTATTATTCTATTCTTTTATTACACCGGTTAACAACTAGTGCCTTTTCTGTCTCGTCGCGTCCCTTTTCGAAACTAAACTAAACTAGTTACAGTTCTACCAACTTAACAATATAAAAACAACCAGCTATCATTACACCTCCCTCTCTTTAAGCTAATGTACAAAATCCGCAAGATAAGACGGCACTTTTATTTGTCTACCACTTTTAGTAATATTATTATCGTTTGGTTTTTGACTAACATTTATCAAAGGATCTTCTCGTATTGTTTTTGATTGGTCATTTTCGATAATCGTTTCCGGTAAGAGAGTCTTAGACGGTTCGTAATCATCTCCTTTGCTAATCATCTTATTTGGTGAATGTTTTAAATAAACACTATTTCTTCTCAACGTTCTTCCCCTTCCATTCATTACTTTATAACTCCTTGGAGTATCACACTTCTCCATCACCAATCCCGGTTTCCACACCTTTTTATTCACATCTCTCATCACTATATTTTTTCCCACCTTAAATTCTTCTGGTGATTTTGCAGATCGATCAAAATAAGTTTTGTATTTTTCCTGATAACTCTTGAAATTTTTTTGATACTTGTTTATCTTTTCCATCTTTTTTGGTACTAATTTATTAGTCGCAATTGGTAATTTAGTATTTAAATTTCTATTAAATATCAGCTCAGCAGGGGAAACACTTGTCGCTCTAGTTGGAAAGTTGTGATGATTAAGTAACATCAACTTAAAATCAACGCTCTTTTTTAACATATTTTTAGTAACTCCCACAGCTTTTTCTGCCAATCCATTCACTTGAGAATGATGTGGACTTGTTGTTATTATTCTAAATTTCCATTCGTTCGCAAACTTTCTACATTCCTCACTATTAAACGGATTAATGTCAGCTATCATCTCATTGCTGATACCAAAAGTTGTAAATATGGGCTTCAACTTTTTAATTACCTCTTTACTAATTTTCTGTTTTAAACTTTTGACTTCTAGCCAGATTATTATTACAATTATGATTTTCCGCCCCACTCACATATATCTACTGGTACTCGTTGAAAAGGATATTTGGTGACATTGTAAGGTAATAGTCGTTCTTTATTCAAGCAAAATTTTGACTTACATGTATGTTGTGTGCTGTTCTTCGAGTGCTGATGGAAGGATTATCAATGACAGCATTAATTACAGCTTCTTCGTCCTCTACATTAACTACATGCGGTCGAATAGCTTTTGCTGGAGCAGGATTACCTGTGTCTCGAAGTCTTCTGAAAGAATCGCTAAATACTGAATAATATGGCAAATGACACTGTGGAAATCTTTCTTGATATTCTCGTACTGATTGGCGAGCATTTTCATTGCAAAAAACCATACACGAAAATTATATCAGCATACTCTTCAGTGCTATAAGCGTACATTTTGAGTTTCTTCTTGTATGTAATAATTAAATCTTATAGCAAACTGACATATTACAATAACAACTTTGTTTTTGTTGAATGTTTGATTTTACTGACTATTAATAAATTCTCTGCAGAAAACTTTAAAGTGTTGTAATTTCGTAAATATTTAAAATAGGAAACATACCATATGTAAAAGTTTGATGGTGAGCTAATAAATCATCCTGTATACCTCTGAATACTTATAATTAGTTGAGTTTTCCACATTACTTTTAGTTTGACTTCGTCATCAACACTGCAAGCAGAATTTTTTGTTGTCTGCCTTTTGGTATAATGTAGAAAACCAGATATACTGCTTAACTTTATACCACAACTTATTCAATACAGTTAAATTTACACTTACCTTACTTACAAAGTTTCTGCCATTCTTCGAGAAACACTTTTTTTAATCTCCTTTATTGGATACCTTAAACTTGCGTAATACCCAGTATTGCCTACAGATTTGCCGATGGTGCATTAAGGACAGTTCCAAATAAGCCACGCCTTGTGCTTCGAGTCGTTATCTTGATAAATGCGAAAACTATATTCTATGCCGAGATTTTCTGCACATTGAAAGTAGTCTAGCAACCCATTAACTAACTTTTTTATAGAAAACGAAGTGCAGCAACATGTCAATGTACAATTTGCAATGCCACTTCATTAATAAAGTTGAAAAATAGCAGAGATAAGAAAAAGAAAAAATTTGTAACTCGTTTCAAGACAACATATTAACTGGAGTGTCAACAAAATAACGTTTTATGAAGTCTTTGAAAGTTCTCTTCTCCTCCTTCTCAGCAGTTGAGATATACTGGAAAAGGTCTAAGATACTATAACAAGAAATCTCAAACGCTGGCTAACTTTGCAATGTTAATATATCCGAGTTTATAGTACCTATATACAACATTTCCCAATTTTATTCTGAAGTGTGACTGTTAATATAACAGAATATAGAAGATTGTTTTTTCTCTCTTCAGTGCTTCGTCCAAATAAGTTTTAGAGAATATTAAGAATAAACAGCACATCTATCAACATTTCCCAATTTTATTCTGGAGTGTGACTGTTCATATAATTGTTTAATTACGTTTGTTGCTCTGCTGTTGATTGGTGATCAACAGTCTTTTCTTCCTCTAACTTTGGCACCAACTTGTTTTATGCTAATATGGTTAATGAAAAAAATACTCCAAGAAGAGTATAGCTCTGAGGTGACATTTCTACACAACACCAAAAGTAACTGGTACAAATATACATGAGAAGTTGCCAAATACCACCTCATATCTGTCCATAATTATATTTATTGGGTCTATTAGAGTGATGACTTCTAATCTAAGTTATATATTACAGCTGACGCAATATCGTGTTATGAATGCTCCAGCCTCCAAAACAATGAATGCCATAAAGATGTATCAAATAATATAGTCCCATGCGATGATGGTGTAAAGCAATGTTTTATGGAAGAAATATCCACTGAAAGTTAGTTTTTTTTATCAAAATTAAGTCGATATCTAATTTAACATGTTTTAGATGGACGATATATTTCTAGAGGATGTTTGGAAGATGACATCAAAAATTATTGTTATACTATTAAACGATTTGCACTTTTGCGCTCCCCTATACATAAAGTTATTAAATGTTATACTTGTGAAAGCGATCTTTGCAATACGATTTAAAACGATTATCATAGAAATGTTATATGATGTGTTAATACCATCTTATTCTTATATATTTTTTATTAAAATTGTTTGAGAGTCACTGTATTTAGCGTCCCTTCCATACCTACCTATAAACTGAGTGTGCGTAGAACGTCTAGCGACATCACGTGGCAGGGCCTGGCAACGATTTTTCAATCGCGACAAAGATCCTGAAATTAAAGTATTAAATCGCATTTATTTCAACAGTTAGTTACTATAAAAAGAATAAATAACCATGAGTGCGTGGAGAGCAGCCGGAATAACGTAAGTAATCGATTTCGTTTTCGTCGAAGTAACTTTTTGAGGTTACGTCACCTTCCAGGTACATCGAATACTCGAGCATCGCGGCAAGGCTACTTAGGAATTCGTTAAAACCGGAATTCAGAAAAGCGGCCGAGAAGAGAGGCGATTCACAGATTACGATTAGACCATGGGTAAACGGCAAACCAGGTAAGTTAAAGAAACATTTAATAAAAAAAATTTGCAGAAGTTGGTCAATAAGTGTTTATATTCAGTTGGCTTTGATCGAGTATGACAGCAGTTCTCAAAATCGAAATTCATTTGTTTAGTTATGTTTTTGTTTCAAACATTTGTTTTTAATTGAACCAATCCTATTTTTAATACTAATAATTAAGTTAAGTATTAAAATTAGTATTCAATTCATATTATAACTATATAAATATTATTAAGTAGATAGCAGACGGAATAAAGACCAAAAAATTTAATACTTTTATACTTTATAAAATGATAATTTTGCCCTTTTGTTGTGTTTAACCTCTTGCAAGCATTAACTTAATGTTTCACAGAAAAAATCTTTACTTTGCTGTTTTCTGATTGATGGTCTAACTGCAATCTAAACATTTACTGATGAATGTCTTGCGAACAAAGAGATCTAAATATGTCAAACATCTCTAATTCTTGAAATAACCTTAGACACAATTTGCCAATGATGTAAGAACCTCTCCATGAACCCCCAAAAGATTACCACTGTGCCTTTAAACCTCACCAATATTAATCACAAATACTGTCAAAACACGCAGAGTTTACTCGTATAAAGTCAAATCGTTGAGATTAAATTCATGCTATCTTTGTGGATCATAACGGTTTCAAAAAATCCATTAAAAAAGGAATGCATCATGAATACAATGAGGTAGCTAATGAAAACAGTTGACACATTAGCGGTTGAGAAGTCGTGGTTCATTATGGATGCATTGAAAAATGTATCGGTTAAACTTCAATTCCCCTAAAACCCGTATTTACCCTTGTAGATTTAACAAGATGTTAATCGATCGGTAAAAGCCTATAATTGCTTGGTAAACAAGAGATGTCTAGGCTTCGCCGTAGAAAACTTTGCGCTAAATATTAACGCCGACGACACGTTTGCTTATTAATGTTCCGTTCCGGACGAGTAGAATCTTTTTTACGTTGTTCCGTTAAAAAGATTGCTCAGGGTGAGAAGGTGCCAGCTATTCATTGTACTCTCCTGTTTGTTCCAGCTCCAAAGGCGTAGGATGTTGTCTCCAAGACGTTCGTTCCAACCGGGTAGGGAAGGCATTTATTGTTCACCATGTTTTGTGTTTTCTTGCATTCCAGTGAGCATTCCATTTAGTAAATTTAAATAAAAGGTTATAAAAAAATATTTGTTTTTTTTTTAATTTTGTATTCATAAATAACTTCCTGTTTTATAAAATGAAACGACAAAAGGAATGATACACATTCCTTCTGTCGCGGAATCTGTTTTACATTGATAATATCAAAGGATGCTCTCGTACAGGCTTCAACAAATCGATACCGTCGCAAATCTCTGGGAAGAATACCAATAAGCCCGGTCGTAAAATATGCGTCTTTGTGGTATTGACGAACGCATGAGGCCTGCCGTCACATATAAAATGTATCGCGTACGTCAATCTGCGGATTTTGTTACTATTCACTCTGTGCCGCCAACAAGTTGTAGCGTCACCTTGTTCGCCGAGCCACGATTAAGACGTCCGATTAGAGTTTGATCCTTTCAGCAAGGATTTTGCATACTAAAGCCTTGATATCTTACGACCTAACATTAGAAAATTGCTTCTGTCAGCATTATTAATTTATTTCATAAACGCAGAGCGGCTTCTTTAAGTATTTGCTTATTTTATTGCGTAACTTACTACCTGCTATTATGTCGTCTATTTTGCGTAAATTTTAAATATTAACATATCCTCTCACGACGTCTTATTAAATTGACAGATGAGACTCTTTGTTGATGAAAGTTCAAAAGGGTCCTTGCCCAGTTTAAGGCATGATTTGTGTGGTGGCACGTGCGCCCTTTGAACACGTCGACGTTGATTAATCGGATCATAAATATTGTCTAATTATAAAAGTACACCCGGCTCGGGAAATTCAACAAGTACTGGACACCAACTGCACTTATTAATCAACTTCATGTATGTACACTTCGTTGATAATTGCTACTCAGACGTTAATAAAAAGTTATTCTTGAAGGTTCGTTATATTATTCAATTTTGCAAAATAAATTTAGTATTTATAAAGGTTGAAAAAAAGATCATCTTTTTATTTTAAACTATTTTTATAACTCTGTTTTAAAAAAGAAGAACTAATTTTAAAACAATAAAAATACTTAAATCATCAGTTTATGAATATATCAGTTCGTTAACTTCTTAAATCACTCTGTTTTAAAGTTTTCGGTTAGTTCAATACACTTCATTTAGTGAATGTTTACAGTAAGGCCCATTTTTACCACCTCGTGATAAATTTATCCGATAGATAAATAGGCGCTCTTAGGGCCACATTTACCATCCTCCTGATAAACTATCTAGAGGATAGTTGCCATGGTTACGGTGGTTTTAAGCGCTCTCATTGGCTAAGAGCTGGATTTATCTATCAGATAAATTTATCAAGAGGTGGTAAATGTGGGCCTTAGCCAATGAAAGCGCTTAAAAGCGCTGTAACTATAGTAATAATCTCTTAGATAGTTTATCAGGAGGATGGTAAAAGGGGACCTTAGCATTCACTTACAGAAAGTTTTATTATACATTTTTTGAAAATGTCTTACAAATTTAATAATTCGGGTTTGCAAAAATTAATTGAAGACTTATTGTTGAGTGAACGTAACGATAGTATATGGAATAAAGGCTGTAAGGGAATTTACTAGCAATGAAAACAGTAGTTTTTCGTAATATGATAGCAAGAAAATACTATTATGTTTTATCAAACGGTAATTTTTCGTAATATGATAGCAAGAAAATGCTATTATGTTTTATCAAAAGATGATTTTGTTCTACTTTTTCGTGTGTAATTTCTTGTAAACGTTATCTTGAGAACAGGATGGGGTTAATAACGATACGTTCAAAAACATTACGCTTTAGGTCAGGAAGTGCTTTTTGATGGACGGTCTAACTGCAATATAAGCATATACTAATGACTGTCTTGCTAACAAAGAGGTCTAAATCTATCAAACATATCTAATTCTTCAAATAACCTTAGACAGAATTTGCCCGTGATGTGACAATCTCTTGATCAACCCATAAAAGGTATCATTGCGCCTTTCACAAATACTAATTACAAAAACTGTCAAAACGAATTGTTTTTCGAAGAAAGTCAAATCATCGGGATTACATTCATACATTTCACAAAGAATATAAAGTTTTCGCGATAGGTTGCTATTATAAATTACTTAACGTGAAAGATTACTTAGATAAGATCTACTTTGAACCCTTGATATTTATAAACTATAAATGATGGCAGAGTAAGGACTATTTCATTACTCAGCAATATCTACTACGGACATAATAATAAGCAACCCTTAACTACATTTTACCATTTGATTAAGTACACCCATTAGTATTCTTTTTACCCTCCAGGAAACTTTTGGATACTTGTAATCGCGTTTTTGTACTAGTTCTTCACATCGTAGAGTTATGAATGAGTATCAGGAAACCCTTATCAAAAGACGTAAGCTGATATGGTCAACAAATACTAGCATAAAACTTTGGCAATACAAGTTTGCATTAAAATCGTCGTAGACAGCTGTTGTACAGACAGGATGTTGTCGTACTGTGAGGTACGAAGACTTTCGTCTTGTATTAAGCCATTGAATCTACGGGAAATGAAAGATCGATCTTTAACGAGAGTACTTTAGATTTTGCTGTGTTTTTTCCGTGAGTTTTCATGCTGCATTGTAGAGTCGTGGTGTCGATCAGTACGATCAACTCCATTGGTCAGACATTATCATGGTGATGCCAAAGGTTGTGGAATTCCATTGATTAAGTTATATGGTGACATCCTGCTCTGCATCAACAACCAGATTGAGACTCGTAGATGAACGACTTCAGCTTCCTCCTCCCATATCTTTTTGAGTAGCCTGTTGACCAAAAGATCCATTCCATACTATCCTTCATGTATGATTTCTACAGAATTTCGATAAAGTTTAGTTTACATCCTTGTTTTATTTATTTCATAAATCTATCATATGCATTTGTTGTATTGTTATCCTTGAAATCTTTTTCCATATTGGTCATTTTCTTACCTTTTCTTTTTCCTCTCTCACGGGTGATGACCTACATGTTTATATATGTTTCATTTCTTTTCGATACACTCCTCAAAATCATTGTCTGTGAATCATGACTCTCAAGTATAAAATATCATCGCTGCTGTTCCTAATCCTTCCGATGACTCTCTTTTGAATTCCTCTAAGCTTCATCCAAATTCACCTGTTAGTAATGGTAACTATAATGCTTCTAATGTTGAGAGCTTTCGGTTTAACCCAATAACTTTTAATGAATTACGCAAAGTGGTTTCCAAATTGAAGAAGTCTTCGTCCAGGGATGTCTATTTGTTGAATAGTACGTTAATTAAAACAGTTTTAAATATAATCATGTAAACTAATTAATAAATGCATGTCTGCATCCTTATTTCCCGATTGTCTCAAAATAGCTAAAGTTGTCCCTATACACAAAAGAGGCCCACAAAATGAATCTTCTAACTGTAGGCCAATATCTATTTTACCTATTGTAAATGGTGTTATCGTCAATAAAGTATTATTATAGCTCAGTGTAAAGGCTAGTATC